GTGTGGATAATCACATTGTTGTTGTGTACCATAGAGTCAGAACAAATCTATAGCTGACTGACCCTCAGTTGGGTTTTCAGAGGCAGTTAATCACCTAGGAGGAGACTGCCCATTCTTCTCTCCTGGAGCTCCTGGTGGCCTCGAACTGTGTGCCTTCAGGATTACAGCACAGCATTTTACCAGTAGGCCCCCAGAGCTCCCTATAATCACATCCATCCATCCATCCATCCATCCATCCATTTTATAGAAAAAAGTGTCTAGAAATGACTATGAAAAAGTTATGATTTGTTAAGAAATTTTTACTCAGTAAAAAAAAAAAAAAAAGACCACTCCACAATCTGCTTCAAAACGGGGAAAAAAAGAGTTTAACTGTGGTTTGGGAGGTCTGGTGGAGTGGAGAGTGGAGACAGGGAGCCTAAGGTTTCTGGTGGCTGAAACCACCACAGGCTCAGAGGGAGAAATGTGCCATTACACTCCCTCCCATATGATTTACAGCCTTTGGAGTGTCAGAACTCACTACTTGACAACAGTCGATGAATACCATGACTCTCAAACAACTGCTATCAAGTCACAACAGGCCTTGTGAACTCATAGCTGACCCTCCAGTGACTTTTCAGAGGCTATAAAACATTCAGGAGATTGACAATCTTTCCCCTGAGGAGCAGATGGTAGATCTGAATCGCTTGCTTTTGGGTGGTTACCTATCGACACACTGCAGGGCTCTGAACAGGATGGGCAGCAAAAGTACATTTACAGGCAGGAAAAAATAATACACCGAGTCATGAGTTGCCATGAGTCAAATTTGACTTGATGCCAGTCAATTGGGAGAACAGCAATTTGCTTAAAAATAGTTACTTTTAAAATGATTGTTTAAAATGTCAAAATGTTAAGGACATTTAATGCATTAGCCCTTTTATTAATCATAATCACCTTAAAGTGAGGCAAAGGTGAAGGGTGTGATACATTTGGACTTCTGGGTCAATCTGCAGGGGCAGGTAGTTTTTTTAGACTTGATCTTGGGACATAAAGCTTCACAAATTTCTGGTGTAACTCCACCAATTCTTTTATGTAGGTCAGAGGGTACTCTGGTTGACACATACATAGCAACCATTTATAACTGTGTTTCTGCTGTGCTGTTTAATGTGGCTATCCCACTATTGCCAGTCAAACAGCCTGGCTAGAGCTGTCCTACAGCCTGGTTACTTTTTTCTCACTACAACACAGGAGCCCTAGTAGCACGAAGGTTAAGAACTCAGTGGCTGACTAAAAGATTGACAGTTCCAACTCACCCAGTAGCTCTGGCAAAGACAGGTAGCATTTGGTTTCTGTAAATATCACAGTATAGAAAACCCTATGGATCAACTTCCCTATTGGGCCAGCACTACTCTGTCACGTGAGAGGATAAAATGGAACCCAAAGCACCTAATAACATAGCTCTGAACGAGACCACCTTCCTCTGTGAGAGCATGATTGGTTAATATTGATCTTAGGTCATATACTGAAACCAGTACCAATGTGTGGAATGACTCACTGGAGTGGAATTCACTCCTACTTACCAGAAACCCTGTACGCTAGAGTAAAACTGCCCTGTAGGATTTCTTTAGGTTCCATGCTCTTGGAAAGAATATACTGAGTCACTGTATCAAAAGGAATTGGAAGACACCGAAGAATTTCATGAAACAACATATGAGCAAGAGCCTATGGTGATGAAAGAAGAAGTTCAGGCTGCTTTGAAGGAAATGGCAAAAAATAAGGCTCCAGGAATAGATGGTATACCAATTGACATATTTCAGCTAACAGATGCTGCCCTGGATGTGCTCATCAAGTTGTGCCAAGAAATCTGGAGAACAACCACTTGGCCAACTGACTGGAAGAGGTCTATATTTGCTCCTATCCCAAAGAAAGGTGACCCAACAGAATGTGGAAACTACAGAACAATCTCACTGATGTCACATGCAAGCAAGATTTTACTGAAGATTATCCAAAAACAACTGGAACAGCACATTAGCAGAGAACTACCAGAAGTCCAGGCTGGGTTTAGAAGGGGTCGTGGTACTAGCGATATTGTAGCTGATGTTAGATGGATCTTAGGTGAAAGCAGGGATAACCAGAGGAATGTCTATCTGTGTTTCATTGACTATGCAAAGGCATTTGACTGTGTGGGTCATAACAAACTATGGTTGACTCTGCGAAGAATGGGAATCCCAGAACACTTGATCATTCTAATGCGAAACCTATACTTGGACCAGGAGGCAGTCGTCAGAACAGAGCAAGGGAACACTGCATGGTTCAAAATTGGGAAGGGTGTATGCCAGGGATGCATCCTATCTCCATACCTTTTCAACCTATATGCAGAACAGATTATCCGGGAGGCTGGGCTCTATGAGGGGAAATGTGAGGTCACGATTGGTAGACGATTTATCAACAATCTGCGTTATGCAGATGACACAACCCTGCTTGCTGAAAATGAAGAGGACCTGAAACACCTGCTGCAGAGGGTCAAGGACTGCAGCCTACAATATGGATTGAGGCTCAATGTCAAGAAGGCAAAGATTCTCACCACTGGACCAATTGGCAGCATCAGGATGGATGGTGAAGAGATTGAGATTGTACACAGCTTTAGTTTGCTTGGCTCCACAGTCAACAGTCTTGGCACCAGTAGCCAGGAAATTAAAAGGCGCATTGCCATGGGAAAGTCTGCTGTTAGAGTACTGAAGAGCAAGGGTGTCTCTCTGGAGACTAAGGTGCGTCTGATACAGGCCATGGTCTTCGCAATCACTTGTTATGCATGAGAGTTGGGAGAGTTCTATCCAAGGAGGATAGAAGGAGAATTGATGCCTTTGAGCTGTGGTGCTGGAGAAGAGTATTGAGAATACCATGGACTGCTAGGAAAACAAACAGATTTGTCCTGGAAAGGGTTAAACCGGGTGGCTCCTTGGAGGCAAGGATTCTGAGGCTCTGTCTAACATACTTTGGACATGTTGTGAGGAGAGACTGGTCCTTGGAGAAGGACATCATGCTTGGGAGGGTGGAGGGACAGCGCAGGAGGGGAAGGCCCTCTATGAGGTGGATTGATTCAGTCAGTGACTGGGATAATCGGGATGGGAGTGTCAGAGACAGTGAGATTGGCACAGGACAGAGCAGAGTTCAGGGCTGTTGTACACAGATAGGGTCGCTATGAGTCGCGACTCGACAGCACACAACAGCAACAACAGCATGTGGGTTTGAACCTGTGGTCTTAGAATTAGGAGTCCTTGGTTTTAACTATTGTGTCACTTGAGCTCCTTGTTATTCTGCTACTGAATGGTGACCTCAAAAGAGTAGGAAATCTTCCAGGATGTAAAGACTATATATTCCCTTGCAATTCTGCGACTGAATGGTGACCTCAAAGGGGTAGGAACTCTTCCAAGATGTAAAGACTATATATTCCCTTTCATGTTTCTGCATACCCAAAGTAGGCATATTACAAAAAAGTAAAACGGATATTAATTTATTGAACGCCTACTACGTTCAGTAACATTCACACACACATACTTTTCACACTGGAGAGAAAGCAGGTTGAGATGTAAAACTTGCTCAAGGTGACAGGCATATTACAAAAAAAAAATAAAACGGATATTAATTTATTGAACGCCTACTAAGTTCAGTAACACACACACACACTTCACACTGGAGAGAATGGAGGTTGAGATGTAAAACTTGCTCAAGGTGACACACTGCAGCAAGCAGGAAAGCAGAATCTGAATCCAAAACAGTGTCTCTGCCCGTCACCACTCTGCGACACGGCCGCCCCTCAGAAAACACAGGGGAACGAATGACCCATGCCGGGGCTCTGCGCCACCGCTGGAGAGGCAGCCGGTCCTCGTGACTCTTCCGTTTTCACCTCAAGTGTGTGACTGCGGGAGGAAAGCACCCACGTGAATCATCCTCCAGGCGCGAGGCAGAGGCAGTCCAGCCCAGAGCAAGTCACAGGTGCGACAACGTGCCGGACGGGATCCGGAGCCGCAGGGCGCAGCGTCACCGGGCTGTCGGGCGGGAAGCGCGCCAGGAGTGTCCCTGGGCGCGGCGGGTCAAAAGCAAGTGGAAAATGCCCCTGAGGAGGAGTTAGCAATACAGAACGAGGTCCGTTAGGTTCGTAGAGGAGGAAACGACCTTGGTCGCCGTCTTTGTAATTCCGCACGGCGACCTCCGGCGGCCGAACGAGAGACTCCCCAGAATCGGCCGGAAACCGGGCCCCGGACGGAACGCGGAGGCTCTTCCCACGTGGGCAGAACCCGCCTGGGGGTGTGGCCTGGAGGCCAGGTCTGTCCAATGAACGCAGCCTTTGGGCTCACCAGGCCGGGTACGCTAGGGCGACGAGCGGTGCGTCACCTAGGGGGCGGAGCTCCGAGGCCGGCGCGAGGCGTGGTGGATCACGTGGGCAGGGCGCAGGTTATAAGAGTCCGCTAGCGGGGCGTATCGCCAGAGTGATGGCTGCTGCAGTGCGCTCAGTCATCTCTTTCTTCAGCTGCTAAGTGGACCACGACTACTTTCCTGGTGGGCTGCGAACCCCTCCACACGTTCTGTGGTGCGGCCACTCGAGGCTGTCTGCTCTCTGAAAGAGTGTATTGCCTGGCCCCAGCCTACCACCCCAGCCTGGACTTATATCCTGATCGGCCCCTCGTTTTCTCTGGTGAGTGGTGGTGCCACTTTGGAAAGGCTCTTTTTTCTCCCCGGAGCCGGGCCGGCGGGCGTGGGCATCGCGTCCTGGCCGCCTGTGGCGCACCTCGAGCGGCGCTGCTAGCGCCTTCCTCCCCCTATCCTGTGACCGCCCGCGGGCCTTTTTGGCGGTCTCGGGCGGCGCGCGCGGGAACGGCCTTTTTCCGGTTTGCCCAGCGAGGGCGCGCGCGGGCCAGCGGCGCGGAGGCCGGGGCGGGACGCTCGCGGGCCGAGGGGCGCGGGCCGCACGCGGCGCCCGGGCAGGCGGCGTCCGGCTATTGTGCTTTCCTCCTTCCCCGCAGGATGAACTGGAGTCCTTGCGCTCTTCCGCCATGGCGTTTCGCTGCGCGCTTTTAGCCCTCCAGAGCCAAAGAGCCCCCAGACAACAGACGTTCCTGCGCAACGTATAGCAGTAACTCCCAGCTCGGTCTTGCGCCGTAGTTTACAGTATTTAATTTTATGTAATATATATTATTTATTCTAGTATCTTGTTACCTCATCTTCCGTTTACATATCTTGAAAGCCGTGCAGTTATTCTCACATTCATTGCAAACCTCTCACTCCGAGAATGGAACCGACCGTGGCCACGCTGACCACCAGCTCCGTCGCTGCTTCTGGTGCGATGGGGAACTACCTATGGATGCTCATCCTGGGCTTCATCATTGCCTTTGTCCTGGCCTTCTCCGTGGGAGCCAATGATGTAGCGAATTCTTTCGGCACTGCCGTGGGCTCCGGGGTGGTGACCCTGAAGCAGGCTTGTATCCTGGCTAGCATCTTTGAAACCGTGGGCTCCGTCTTGTTGGGGGCCAAAGTGAGCGAGACGATCCGGAAGGGCTTGATTGACGTGGGGATGTACAACAAGACCCAGCCGCAGCTGATGGCCGGCTCGGTCAGTGCCATGTTCGGTAAGTGCTGCCGCCCGCAGTGGACCCCCAAGTACCCCGAGGGGCGCTGCCGGCCTGTGGCCGCGGTGGTTCCCTGGTCACTTGTCATTGTGCGACTGACTTGATAAAAATTGACTTATTTCAGGTTCTGCGGTGTGGCAACTAGTAGCTTCGTTTTTGAAGCTTCCTATTTCTGGTACCCATTGTATAGTCGGTGCGACCATTGGTTTCTCACTTGTGGCAAAGGGACAAGAGGGTGTCAGGTGGTCTGAACTGATAAAAATCGGTACGTTTGACTAAATGGCTTCTTAATTTTTCTTTGTCTCATCTTACCATATGTATGTACAGCAGAGATTGTGAGGGTGGGGCTGGGTCTCTGAGTCAGGTGGCTTAGTAGTGAGGAACTCTAATGCCAACTCAAAGGTATGTGAGATAGAGATGGGAAGTCTCCTGTGTGATTTACTACCTCTGAAAACCTGTTAGAGTCAGGTTCCAACCCCATGGCACAATGTGAATCAGCTGTACACTTATAGCAACAAGTTATATTGCCATATATGTGTGGGAGGAGGGGGTGTAACATGATAGGACAGACTAAAACAGTTTTAGAGAGTGAATATTGAAGTGATTGTTGCCTCCTGATATGCAGTTACTGATTTTTTTTCCTTAATGTGTTTTATTTCAGTGATGTCTTGGTTTATTTCTCCGCTGCTTTCTGGTATTATGTCTGGAATCTTATTCTTTCTTGTCCGAGCTTTCATCCTGCGTAAGGTAATTTTCCTCCTCCAGTATGACTTTTAATGGATCATTCAAATTCAAACTGGGATAACATTTTTACAAATTTTTGGAAGAGTTGACAAAACAAATTCTGTAAACTTGTGTGTTGCCTTCTGAAAGGAGCAAGTTTTCAATACCCAGGAAGGAGAATTTGAAGTGACTACTAAACTGTAGTGATAAACTGGAGGGACAGGAGCAGAAAGATAGGACATTTATTTAGAATAACTTCTCTAGTTGAGGGCGAAGTACTGCCTATTGGAGCAAATATTATAGTCTGACCAATTTTAAGTTTGAAATTTAACAAGTCACTATCCTTTGGGGTTTTTTCCCAAGCTGCCAGTAATTGAAGTTCTTTTAATGTTATTCTTTCTTTAATGTTATCCTAACCTGTTTGTAATTTCTTTGTATCAAGTGTGACAACTGCATTTTTTCAGAAGAACATGAACCAGTAAAGATAGTCTCTTCTCCCCTCAGGAAACTTATTTCCTGTTTATTTAAATAAAATCCTCTTGAGGGACTGATAACATTTCCCTTATCAAGAAGCCTGATGCTAACTTCAAAATAAATACAGAAGGCAAGGAATTTTGTTGGTGTGGGACTGAGTTACAGCATTTTCCTCAGGAAACAATGTTCATTTTTTGAGGTAATTGCTCTTAAGTGGTCCATTGTAAGTTCTTTAAAACACTCCTAAACTTTAGAAACCCGAGAGAAGGGAGATAGGTTGCTTAATCCCAAGAGGTAAGAATGTATTTAGACCCACTTGTCTGGTCTAGTTTTAAGCTTCTCTAGGGAAGGATTTGCACAATGATGCAACAGAAACTGTCTAGAAAAAGGAATTGTAATAGATTTTTGTAATCTGAACCATTTGCCATGAAATAGCAGTTAATTTCAAAGACTTTCAAATAATTATAACCTATTGCTATTGTCAGTTTTAAGTCTTAGCATTCCTGTAGGACTATAGAAGAAATGTTCCCTTTTAGAAAGGCTAAAATTTTTTAGCAGCAGAGTATATCTTTTCTCCGTGAACTAGCTGATGGGTTTGATACACCAGCCTTTTGATTAGCATTTGGGCACTTGTTAGGCTCCAGGACTCCTACTGAAACCAAATCCATATACCCTTTGCTATCATTTCTACCTCAGATCTCAAAGTACAAGACAGAATAGAATTGCTTCATAGTTTCCAAAGCTCTCTTTCTTCGAAGGAGTTTTGGTGTTTTGAACTGTGGTGTCTGGACGCTTAACCACTGTACCACTAGGGTTCCTCACACTCACTATGCCAACTGCTTTTTGGTCAAGTCATTGATAATGAATTTATATATAGGACAGGTTATAACTTCCCTATGGATAATTTACACATAGGATAGATTATGACTGCCCTTTAGAATTTTGAAAGCTGTGAATATATTTAGAGTGACTGTCTTCCTCTTTTGTAGAGAGATTGGTGGGTTCAAACCACTGACCTTAAAACAGTTTCTTGTTAACAACTCAAATTCTGTACTGGTTTTATTTAGCAAACAAATATGATTAGCACCTACTTTAGTCTCTTAGACATATGATAATGTCTATAGTATTTGAATTTGAAGCTCCCAAGTGGTCATGTAGGGACCTTCGAGAAGGATGTCATGCTTGGAAGAATAGAGGGTTAGTGTAGGAGAAGATGACACTGGATGAACTAGATTGATATAGTGACTGGCAATGGGAGCAGGTGTGTCAAAGATGGTGAGGTTGGTGCAGTGTAGGGCAGGACTTAGAGCTATTGCTGCATTCACTTTGAGTTATAGACTAGACTTTTTAGTGTCTCTGCTAGAGTCACACCTCACAGGAGTAGTGAAGATGGATGCAGGGAAGGCAAATTTTAATCTGTTCCTAGGGTACCTGGAGTCCTGCTACTTGATAACAACAGCTCCTGAGAGCAAAATACCAGAAAACCCAGAGAAGTAATCAGTCTTGTAGGTGTGCCTGTTTATAAAGGTTTAAAAGGACTTTGTTGTTCACTGGGAAGCAGTCTCCTACTTCCAGTGAGGGTTCGTAGGTCTTCCTTCCACAAAACGAATTTGCTCTCTTGCCTGGGGTAAGGATTGTGGTGCTGCAAAGTGTGATGGGTTTTTCAGTTTCCCAGTACTTCAGACATGAGATGCTCCTGCTGTGTCTTCCCCTCAGTCACTGAGTTTATTTCTTGCTGGGCATAGGGGATAAACATAATCAAAGACAATTTAAATAGGTTTTTAAAAATAGTATTAACTTTGAGGCTTTATCTCGGAGACTGCCCCTCATATTACCCCTCTTTGCTTTGTGTATGTGTGTGTGTGCGCGTATTCAGACTCAAGCCATTCCCTCAGTAGCAAGTTAGAAGAGATTTTAGGTAATGCAGGTGATTTTATTTATTTTTTAAAATGGCTAGGAAGAATTAAAATCATTAAGATGGTAGACTTTCGGGAGTCTTATCTAGTAAGATGTAACTATTGACCATTAAGATACTTTCTAAGTTAAGAATCTTAGAAATTTAAGATTAAAATTATGTTCTGTGTTTCAAAGATACTGAGTTAGGAGAAAAAAGGTGGAGTAATTCTGTTAATGTTGTGGTGTTAAAGTGGACTGAGATTAAGTATGTAAGTTCTGTCAAGAAAATGTATCTTTTTTTTAAATTTTTTATTAGTATTCAGCTGTATTATATATGTCAGGAATAGTTTTATGAAATGTAGCAGTCTTTTTCATTTGACCTAAACCTTAATGAGATGCTGTTTTCAATTAGCTATTCTGGTTGAAGATTGGAATTAACATGTAACAACAAATGAATATTTTAAAAGGAAGTGAACTGGGTGAAGGGAAAAGAAGGTAGGGAGAAGGGGTCAAATTGTGAAACAATGAATGAAAATCTAACTTGTGTATACTTTTGTTAAAATCACAATTTAAATAAAAATCTTATTAATTAAAAATAAAAGATTGGAATTAAGAAGTCCCTCTTTTCCACACCACCTTACCTGGGTAGTGAGTTACATACATCACTCATCTTAATATTTATCACATTATCAGACATTGTGCATTTTATATATATATATATTTATATTTATATTTATATTTATTTATAAAGAAATAAATAAGGGAAATACTGTGCAATAGTTTTTAAAAACATCTGAAAGTTTTGCACATTAATGCCCCCTTGGGAAGTAAAGAATGCCGAGTTTTGAGAGGAGAGTAGTTGGCTGGTGGTTAGAATTGTGGGTCAGCTTGGCTAGGTCATGATTCTTGTGATTTTTGACAGGTAAGTAATGGTGCAGTCCTCCGTTTTGTGATCTGAGGTGGTCATCTTCCATTTGCACATTATGCTGCTTTTTATGTAATGACCTGTTCTTTGGAACCAGGTAATTTTGATAAATGAAGAATTGGGTATACATTATTCCTGCAGTTTTAAGTGGGTGAGTTAGGTGATAGAGTGATAAGAATAGTTTTATAAACTGTTAAGCAGAGTTATGGCTTGGAAATAACAGGAAAGATATAAGGCATACAGGATAGGCTTTTGGAGGTTAAACTTTGTTCTTAAAGCCTTATGAACTGTTTGACTTTAAAGAGATAATAAGGTAATCTAAAGATGGTGCTTGTGGCAGTTAAATCTACCAGCAGCTCTTTAGGGAAAATGATGAGCGACATTCAGCCCTGGAGAGCGTGCTGGATAATCACCCTTGAGGAGGATCTAATTTGATGGCAATGCGTTGGAGCTTATTTTTTTCAAACAGTGTATAAACCAAGAACAATGGATAAAGTAGTTAGGCATCAGAATGATTTTAGTCGATGAGGCCTTTTTGATTTGGAATGGCACTTTACACAAAGGAGTTTATTTCTTAGCTTTTCTGTTTTCATCTTGAGGTACTACATATTCTTCTCGATGTATTTATTGACTATTCTTAATAAAAAGTTTTAGAATAATTTTAGTCTCCCTGTTTTGTCTCCTCATCCCTTCAGACCCTCAGTGTTATTGTTGTAAATGCAAGGTTTTCCATTGGAATTGTAATTAGGATTCTATTAAAGCTTAATTCTTTATAAATTTAATTAAATGAAAAAGAATTTAAATTCTTTAAGTTTGGGAATTTTTTTTCTATAATTATATTTTATTAATTTTCATAAACATTTACAGAGATTTTGGGCTTCCACTCATTCATTGTTGCACTATTCTCTCTACCCTCCTCCCAGTTTGTTCTTGTCCAAATGCTAAGTTTGGGAATTTAAAGGAATTCTTTACACTTCTATTTAAAATCCTTTTCATTCATTTTGGTTTGTAGTGATTCCACACTTTAAAATGTTTGATTTGTGTGTAGTTGTTTTTCCTCTAGAATTAGCATACGTGGTAAATCAAGCTCTTCTCATTTTCAGTCTCACTGACTTTACTATTGTTTAAAGTTTTCCATCTCTTCATTCAGTGGTATTTGTACTTGTTAGAACACCATGCATGGAAAGGTCAGTAAGAGGAAAATCCACAAAATGCATTGACTGCAGCAGTGGGCTCAAGTGTATTTGAGATGGTAAGGATAGGTCAGGGTACAGATTATTGTTCATAGGGTTGCTATGAGTTGCACTTGACTCAACAGCACATAAAAGAAGTATATTACCTCTTGAATAATTATCCAGGTTACTTGTTCCTTGTATTCCTGTCTCTACTCGAGGAACATTCACTGACTGCCATGACAAAAATGTAGCCCTCCTTCCATGACTATTTCCTTTACCTTTTTTATAGTGCTTATCAATACTTAAAGCAGGAACCTCCAGATGCTATTATACAGGTATGTAGTTTTTTTATTAAATAGCAAGAAAAAGGAATGAGAACAAGAAAGATGCTGTACTGGAGTACCCAAACATATAAAGCCTTGCTGGAAATTCTTTTAGGAGCACATATATAGGGCAAAGTCCAGTTGCCCAGGGAAATAAATGAGTTATTCCTCAACCTACTGTTATAAGACTTTGTAGAAATGGGTAACTTTTATAGTATTTAATAGGTTGGACGATGTTTTACAGGCAGATCCAGTTCCTAATGGTTTAAGAGCTTTGCCAGTTTTCTATGCCTGCACAATTGGAATAAACCTCTTTTCCATCATGTATACTGGAGCACCTTGTGAGTACATAGTAAAATATTTAAATGTGAATTTCACCTTGTTTTTAAAAATTTGCATTAAATGCCCAATTTACCCCTTTTTGCTTTACAGGGCTGAAATCTCCTAGAAGGTGGCTGGCCTGCACCCAATTCAGAAGGCTGCAGGCTAGTGTATGCTGAGTTAACCTAGATAGTTTTTCAACCAAAGAGACCTGCTCACATTCTAAATCACTACAGACCTTTCCTCTTTAGTCTTCACAGGATCCACAGATCTTAATGATCTTCTCCCTCCTATTTGGAATTAATATTGACCTCAGTTACTGAAGAGTTGTTAGATATATTTGTTCCGTAACAGTCATTTAGGACTGGTGCGCTGGATCGTCTCATGTTCCATTCCTAAATGGAACAGCTTTTGGTCTTTAAGTATTAAATTTATTCCCCCAAATCTGCACAAATGAGAAGAGTTGGCATATTTAACAACTGGTCTGAGTGCACTTGGATGAAGAATTCATGCAGCTAAGAGGAAAAAGAATTTGTGAGAATGTAAAGAGTGAAATGCTTAAATTTCATATTAGAACTGAGACAAAACATGGATTAAACCGCAGATGTACGAGTATATAATTTAACAACTGTGAAAGATTGATAACTTGTTACTTGTCAGGACAGATTAAATGTCTTTAATCTGCTTTGCCATCTAGTCTTATTTGACTTGATGGTCATTGGCTTTCAATTTTTTTTTTTATCAGACCCACTCGAAGACATATTGCTGTCCAGGGTACATTCACTTCATTTATGTATCGAGAGAGAGCAAGGCATAAACAGAACAGTAGTATGAATCTGCTAAAGTGCTATGTATGCACTCATTTCCAAATATTTTTAGTATGTTGTGCCCTCATCTTCAGATATCCTAAGGCTTTTAAAAAAATATAATGTATGGTCACTAAATTTTCTTTCTAATGGATCGTGAATTCTTTAACCACATCTGCCTAGTATTTTTTTCCAACCAAAAATGAAATTAGCTAAGTAACTTTAACCTTGGATTGTTCTTAGAGTGATAAGGAAGGGAAAAAAATTGCTCAGTAAAATTGTTCTTACTAAGGCTACCAGATTCCTTATTCTAAAAAGTGCATATGAAGAAAAACATACTGTATAAGAATGTGTCCTTGTGCTAAATACAAGAAGTCTACAGTGAGATTGCTAGCATTAATGCTTTGTGATGGCAGGGCTGAGAGGAGAGTTGAATGAAATTAGAAACAAATTTTCAGTCATCCTTGTGAATGAGAACTTGGGGTATTTTTTGTCCTTTGTGGATCATTTACTAGAAAATTTGTTATATTCTTTCTAACATTTGCGAAGTAGGTAGATTTACATTATAATAGAAATTGAATTTCATGTGAAGTTCATTTTACCTGATTTAACCTATATGATAAAAATGGAAAACAAAAGACTTATTTCAGATCTTCGTATTTGAAATAAGCCTCATTTTTACCTGATTTTTAATAAAAAATTAGATACAAGATTTCCCCTAATTAATAAAGCAAATGACATCAGTTACTCTAAACCCATTAAAATAAAATTTTTCTTGGATTTGTTACAGAATTTTTGCATGCACTAAAGTGCTGTTTAAAGTAATCTTACTTACTGATGTGTAACATTCTGGGGTAATAGTCTTTTAAGATTGATATTACTGTTGAAGAGATAATTCTGTTGAACTTACTAAAAGCAAGTAAGATGGATGTGTTTTCTGTAGAGAATTTTATCCTGACAAATGTGACTCTTAACTTTAAAAGTATTGATTGCTGTGCGCAAAAAAATTTTTTATTACTGTGTGCAAAGGTATGGCAGCTAAATTCAGAGGTGCATAAATGGAATGGCTAGTTTGCATGCCTTCAGACATCCAGTAATCTTTCAGAAAATGAAGACAGGAAGAAAACGGAAATGTGGCAGGTGTTCTAAGTGTAGCTTTAAGACAACTATTGGATTTCTCTTAAAAAGCTGATTTATTTTTACAGATATTAGTACAGTAGACCCTGTGAAGCCACAGCTGGTAGCAGCTGTGAGTGGTGATGGGGTGGCTTTGGGAACTGCTCAAGAGTCCCGGTAGGACTTACACAATATTGCAGGGGGCTGTTGCCCTGGGGTTTTCAAGATGCATCATTTTATCTCCTAGTGCTGGGCTTTGACAAACTTCCTCTGTGGGTTACCATCCTCATCTCGGTGGGATGTGCAGTTTTCTGTGCCCTTTTCGTCTGGTTCTTTGTATGTCCCAGGATGAAGAGAAAAATTGAACGTAAGTAACTGTCACAGAAAAGTATAACTAGTAATGTGTTTCTGTTTGATCACCTATAAAAAATACTTTTGGTTAAGTTGGCAATGTAAGAAATTTTTAGTAGGTATAAATTTGTTGCCCAAATTCTTTTTTATGGAGTGAGTCATAGTGGATAATTGATCTGTGTTGCAGAGACAAACGTTGACTCTTTTTTCCTACTGTAATTGGATTAGCTAATCAGTAACATGATAGAGAAATTGTACGTTAATTTAAAAGTATGGGGAAAAAATTTAAAAGTATGCACCTACCTTAATGAAGAAAAAGGAAAATATTTTCATGATAGGGAGCTCTGGTGGCCTAGTGACAAGAAGCCGTGCTGCAATACTGAAGGTGCACTATTGAAATCCACCAGATGCTTCACTGGAGAAGGAGGGGCAATCCCCTTCTGTGCCAGTTGGGCCCAGTTGGACAGTACACAACAAGAAATTTTTTTTTTTCTTCCATGAAACTGATTGCCCCAGCTATTTCTACCATAAGAAGTTTTCAATGCATAACTTAAGATTCAAACAGACAAATGTAATATAATGTGTAAATTTGAGCTTAGATTTGGTTAATTCTCCCTCAGAGTTTGATAGCTCAGATTAATTAGTTTTGTAGGTCGCATGTGAAGGAATGTTAAATACTCAATAAAGTTCAATAATGTCTGTTTGCCCTGACATTTTTGCATTCATTTCCTTAGTGGTGGCAATTCTGTCAAAATAATCTTGTTCTGCCTTTTTCATCTCTGCAAATAATTGGTGATATAAAGTTCATTCTTTGGAAATGAAGTGATGCGCATAGGGCGGTGGTGTTCATAAGAGTGCTGTGTCACTGCACTGCAGCTGAAAGGCCTCAAGAGTCTTTGCTCATCTGGCTGTACTGAGGCTTCCAGACTAACTGACCTCATTTTTCTGACAGAATATGAGATGTCTTGCTAAATGCTTAACTCCAGTACGTTGACATGATTGGGAAGATTCTTGTCTATCTCTAGAATTGGAAATAATTAAAACTTCTGAGCTGATCTGTTAGAAACAAAGATATGGGAGTTTGTTATATAGTTGCCTTCATTGCATGGATACTTTGTGTAAACTCTTGGACTAAAATTTGGGGGAGTTGCCTTTTTAAAAAGTGAGAACTAGGAATTGTCCATATTATCAGTTATTTGGATCGAACTGCCTTACAGTAAATGATGAATAGGTTGGTAGGTGTTTTAGCAACAATTGGGTTGCTTTTAACAATTCTTTTTTCTTTTTAACTATTTTGTGTGCGTGTACCGTCAGATCAGATCTGACTGATACAGGAGGATATTGCTCCTCCTTCTCCGGCAGAGCATCCGGTGGATTCGAATTGTGTACCTCTGGGATTGCAGTGCAGTTTCTTGCCACTAGGCCACCAGAGCTCCCCTAACAATTATTTTCTTATGATTTAATAGGCTAGAAGTCAGAATTCAGGACACTAGCTCTAGAAGAAGGCTTTACCTGTTAGCTCGAAGGAAAGTCCTTGTCTCTCTTCTGTTTTTGCTTAACTGAAAAACTTACTCCACACACCCCCCATCTTCTGCCTCCTTGCTTAATCTGCTATTTCAAAAGAATTCCTAACAATAAATAAACATTTTCATGTTAAACATAAAAATAGCCCATTTCCAAGTGGTGGTATCACCTCAAGGTGTATGTGATGGGACATAAAGTAGAGTTATAAAAATGAAAGAACAAAAATTACATGGCAGAGCTAGCAAACCTAAAACATTGGTTGTCTGACCTTTTGTGGAAAGTTAGTCAACTTCTAAAAGGGGCGTAATGCATTGCAGGTGATCAAAGAATGAGCTAACAAATAATGAAGCAGATCGAAAATTATCCCTAATTTTTCTTGTGTTTTACAAACATTCTCAGTCTGAGTTGGATGTTTGGGGTGAAGGAAAGGGAGCAGTGTTGCCGCTAGTGTGGCCAAAATCAAACCAAAGACCCCCTTCTTTTCTAGGAGAAATAAAGTGCAGTCCTTCGGAAAGCCCCTTGATGGAGAAAAAGAACAGCTTGAAAGAAGACACTGAAGAGACCAAGTTGTCTCTGGGGGATATTGAAAGTAGGAGTCCTGTTTCTGATGTAGAATCTGCTCCTGTGCCCCTTCGGGCTGTGGTGGAGGAAAGGACAGTCTCTTTCAAACTTGGAGACTTGGAGGAAGCTCCCGAGCGAGAGAGGCTTCCAAGTGTGGATCTGAAAGAGGAAACCAACATAGACAGTGCCATAAATGGTGAGTTAAAGCCGGGCTGGGGAAAAGTATCACATATAGTGCTAAAGACGTGCAAACAGATTTTGGTCTTATTCTTTATATTGCGTATTACTTTTTTGGTTTTGAATAGGTGCAGTGCAGTTGCCTAATGGGAATCTTGTTCAGTTCAGTCAAACAGTCAGTAACCAAATCAACTCCAGTGGCCACTATCAGTATCACACCGTGCATAAAGATTCTGGCTTGTACAAAGAGCTGCTCCATAAGTTACATCTTGCTAAGGTGGGAGACTGCATGGGAGACTCTGGAGACAAACCCTTGAGACGAAATAATAGCTATACTTCCTATACTATGGCAATTTGTGGCATGCCTCTGGACTCATTCCGTGTAAAAGAAGGTGAACTAAAAGGTGAAGAAATGGAGAAGTTGACATGGCCTAATGCAGACGCCAAGAAGCGAATTCGAATGGATAGCTACACCAGTTACTGCAATGCTGTGTCTGATATTCACTCTCCATCTGAGGCAGACGTTGACAAGGGAGAGATGGGCTTGGGTGACGGAAAAGGAAGTAGTGGCTCCCTAGAAGAAGAATGGTATGATCAGGATAAACCGGAAGTGTCTCTCCTCTTCCAGTTCCTGCAGATCCTTACAGCCTGCTTTGGGTCATTTGCTCATGGTGGCAATGATGTCAGGTTAGTACATGTTGAATTTATCCTTGCTTTTTTTAAAAAAAAAATTTGTTTTTATCCTATCCTTTTTTGTAAGCCCAGAAGGGCACAGTGGGCTCCTCATATTGTGCAGAGGAGCACTAAATCGAGATAAGATGAGTTAATAGTTCTTACTGAAATAGGAATCACTTGTACAGTGAATAGTGAGATTTAAGATTTAAACTTAGAAAGCAACAGAACCCCCACTCATAATACAGTGAAGGTGTACATCTTTAGACTGAATTTATAACTGTTCACTGAGCCCTCTTTGGTAGGAGGCAGGTAACTAGAACTCAGGTATGTTGAGCATATCAGATCTTGCTACTTCTACCTGAAAAGTCCTATTTGCCCTTCTTTTTTCTTCCAGCAATGCCATTGGTCCTCTAGTTGCTTTGTATCTGGTTTATACCAAGGAAGATGTTTATTCAAAAGCAGCAACACCAGTATGGCTTCTACTCTATGGTGGTGTTGGAATCTGCATTGGCCTGTGGGTCTGGGGAAGGAGAGTTATTCAGACCATGGGGAAAGATCTGACACCAATCACCCCCTCTAGGTGAGTCACTAAACAAGGCCTTACTTACAGCCAGAACTGAGTGTTACAGTGCTAACATTGAAACCACTTTTTTAGTTAAAGTAACCAAGTTTGTTGATGCAAAAGTTTTAAGATTATTCTTATTTAAACATCATTTTGGTTAAATACCTATTCATCTCTAATGGCCTGTCAACCAAATAACTTTTCTGAGAAAGGTTTGTTTTTCAAGAGTGAAGAATGAATACTTGGTCTTTACTTGGGATGTTTACCAAGTTCTTAAAGTAAAAGTGTGGACAGATTAAATAAGGGCTTCTAGAATAATATAAAACCTTAAAGATTATAAGAGGGTGTAGGAATGAAGTTAATCCCATGGATCAGTTTAGACAGGTTAACATAAATAAAGACACCAATTGAAGTTGTGTCACCAAGTGGAACAAACAGAGCAAAATCATTATGACTTGACGCACTTACCAAAAAGTAAACTAAATTATTAACTAGTATATTTATGTCTCTAGTGGCTTCAGTATTGAACTGGCATCTGCTCTCACTGTAGTAATTGCATCAAACATTGGCCTTCCCATCAGCACAACGCATTGTAAAGTAAGTTTGAAATAGTGTAATATATGATGAATTAATTTTAAAATGGAGACTTTGCTTAACTTCTGTTGTGATTTAGAACATTTTAATGCAGTAGGGGTTTGAAGAGTCCACAGATTTATTGAAGAGTCCACAAAGGATTATAAGAATGGAAAAAGTTACATTTTACAATTCTTTTATTTAAGCAGTCAGTATATGCTCTCTGAAGTGGTATAGAAGTCATGATCTAGATAGCTATGATTTCCAACTTGCCTAAAGTTTTAGAATTTTTTTTTTTTATCTCAAAGGTCAGTTAGGCTTTGGCACTGTTTTGTTTTCCTTTTTTTTTTTTGTAATGCTGTTCAGAGTAGTGTAGATGTGCTAATGAAATAGTCAATTTTTTTTTAATAGCAAGCTTTTTATAGTTTTGCTTTTTGAGTTGTCACTACCCTTTTAGGTGGCTAAAACTTTGGATTTACAAGTTTGGAAATCTTTTTTACTACTATTTGCATCTTATTTATTGAAAGCATGCTCAGGGCCTGTTGCAGTGAAATGCCAAACGTTTCTTAATGAATACATAATAAGAAAAGAAAGAAATTGGCTTTCATAAGGAAATTCCTTGAATTAGTCCATCATGGAAGGCAACCTGATGGATGAGTCACTGTTTTTCTTCCAAAATCTCTCTAGGTGATCAGTCTATCACTGATCTTTTGAAAACTAGTTTCACACTGTTAATAAGAAATAGCGTAGTTCTGGAGGAAAATACGAAGTGTTTCTAATTTTATTAGTTACCACAAACTTGATTGTAATTTTTTACATTGCTTTTATCTTTCCAGGAATAATTTTTATCTGTTATAAACCAGTCACCTGGTATGAATTTTTACCAGTAGTCTGGGATTCCTTATTTAAATAATTTTTTTTAGTACTTTATTAAATTTAATGAAACTCATTTAAATAACATTTCCCAAAATACAGGCACGTTAGGAACCAGTTTCCTTGGTCTGTCTCTGTAGGTGGGCTCCGTTGTGTCCGTTGGCTGGCTCCGCTCTAAGAAGGCTGTGGACTGGCGACTCTTCCGCAACATTTTTGTGGCCTGGTTTGTGACAGTCCCCATATCTGGTGTGATCAGTGCTGCTATCATGGCAGTCTTCAAATATGTCATCAGGGTGTAAAGCTTTGCGATTGATTTGTGTCAGAGTTTGGCACCACTTTACACATTCCTCCTTCCTTGAAGAATGACTACAGTGTTACAGAAGACTGACAAGGAGTCTTTAAAGTTTGGGAGCCGTGGGAGGGAAGTGTTACTTCTGCTGTAATTGCTTTTGTGCTAAATATGACTTGTCTCAAAATCAGCTATATAAAACAGCCAGGTTCCAACTGGTTCATACTGAAGTCTCATTTCCTTCTGGCTGTGAATTCCTGTACATATTTCTACTTTTGTATAAGGCTTCAATTCCATTATCTTTAATCTTTAAGGAAAAAAACCCAAAACAGACAACCCATAAGTTATCTTTAGAGACAACAGCCATTCAGAGCCATTTGATAGAGTGCTCTGCTTTGTTTATTTCACTGGCTTCTGCCCTAACATGCACAGGGATTTAACGATACAATTAAACAGAAACTCCCCTTGTAGTCCCTTATAGAAATAGTCATTTGTGCTCTGCCCTCCAGTCAGAGTAGTGGCAGGTTTTGTTGGCATCTGTGGGAACTTCTATAGGAATGAGGTTCTTGGATACAGTGAAAAATTTAAATTAGTAGTAATGTTTTTGCAAGCAATTTATTGACTATTGCTAAGAAGAAATAGGGAGAAAAGCCTTTTGGGGCTTTTTTTTATAAAGAAATTTGATATTTCTTAAATTTTTGGCAGTGTGGGATGGGTGAATGGAGTGGAATGTAAATTGGGACACGTTAAATGGGACAGCCTTCCATGTTCATCTGTCTACCTCTTAATAAAAAAGCCTACAGTTTTTAGAAAACTTGATGTCATGGTTTTTGTTTGCGTGTTTGTATTCAACATTGAATTGTCTGTACTCCCCCTCAGATAGTTGTATGTTCTTTGAGAGGTAAGATCTTCCAGCTGATAACTTCTGCCCAGCTTTTAGTTACCTGGTTCCTTCTTGTGTGTTTTCTTGTAGTTCCTGAAGTTTTCTGGTACGTTGAAGCACATAGATGACATAACAGGGCATTTTCTAATTTATTTTGGCATTTTCACTTTTGAAGATACATCTTGGGACATGTCTATGTTAAAACACTTGGATACCTGTTTAGTTTTAAATGGCCACAAAGTTTTCTGTTTGACCGGCTGGCTTGTCACCGTTTTATCTGTACTGAGTTGTCATCACCCCAACTCTGCTGCAGAGTATCACAAGACTGCGAGCTCCCGGGAGCAGATTTCCAGGTTCTCTGCTGGGTGGGTTTGACCCATATACCTATCTGTTAGTAATTCAGTGCCTAACCATTAGTGCCACCCAGGGATTCTGACTAGGCAGATTTGTTTTTAGATCGTAGTGGTTTTTTTTTTTTTATTATGGAGAAAAAAAAATGTGAGTGAAACTAGCAGCTTCATTTAAAATGATCAGAGTTCTCTAATCTTGATCCTTTAGGTTCAATAATTTCTGTCTGGAAAGTTATATAGCACAGTGCTTTTGAGTTTCTGTTGCTGTAAAGAAATAAGTTATAGTCTTACCAATGTCAACATTAAGGTTATAACACAAATTAGATCTTAACCTGTGCCTCTGACGAACTAGACTACTTGTTGAGTATGTATCATTGAATCCTATTTTATGGGCTCCCTGAATATTTGTCAATAAATGTTCGTTTAATGTCAAACACAGTATTCAGCTTTGCTTTTTTTAAAATAATAGGCATTTAATCCTTAACCTGTTGTATTAGGTCTTGTGTACAGATGATTAAACAGATCTGGAGAACTATAATTTTCCAAATCTTATATGTTAGGAGAGAAGGGACATTAGATTTAACCTTTATGGATACTTGAAAACCATTTTAGGACTTGGGGACGAGAGCTGTGGCAAAGGAATTTTGCCGTAAGCCTTTCATTCAAGTTTCAGGGTTCTAGTACTGCCTTTGCATTAGAGCTTTGACACCTAGGATTCTGTCAGCTGGGATTAAATGGGGAGTGGTGACCTTTACCCCTTGGTTGAAAGAGGACAGCTAAGAAAATAGATCAAGGATGAGTTTTTCTAGTTAAATAGGCAAGTAGACTTTGTAAAGAGAACCAATAGAGATAAGAAAGAAGGGAATCTTTCTAAATCTAGTAAAGTGATGGAGATGATGTTCTGAACGCCATGCAGGACACAGTGCTGGTAAGATCCCTGACCGCTTTGGCTTTGCATCAGCTCAACTCCAGGACCCCTCCACCAGGTACATCACAACAGAATTAATTTGCCCATATTTCTTCCTTGGAGCTGTTGCTGGTAAAGTCAGATAGTTGGGGATGTGTGTGACTTTTGGGTTAGCGCAACTGGATACGGATAATTCCACAATAATTCCTCTGGGCCTAGATGATCCCTTTTAATAAAAAATTGCTTTAAAGGGGTGGGGGGGGTGTGTGTCGCAAATGGCTCAACAGTGAAACATCTACCACAATTTCCCTCTTCCTAGAAGTAACTTGAAAATCAGAAAGGGTATATATAAGGAATGTGTCCTTTCTCCATACTTGTTCACTCTGTATGCTGAGCAAATAATTCGTGGAGCCAAACTGAAAAATGGTTTAAGGTTTGGTTCTGAGGAAGATTCATCAGCAACCTGTGTTGGGTAGAGAATACAACCTTGCTTGCTGAACGTAAGTAGGACATGAAAAGCTGCAGAGGATCAAAGATAAATATTACATCTCAGTTGAGGTGTAGTACATCTCAACATTAAGAAAATAGTTATTTTACCACTGGGCAAATCATGATGGAAAAAGGATTGAAACTTAAGTGATTTCATTTTACTTGGATTCACAGTCAACATTCTTTGTATGGGCAGTCAGGAGATTAGTTAACAGATTGCTTTGGGAAGTGCTGTCAGGGACCTCTGCAAAATACTGAAGAGCAATGAGGTCAGTCTGTAAAGGTTGAGGTGCAACTGATTCAGGCTATAGTCCTTTCAGTTACTTGCTATGCTTCTGAGAGCTGGATAATAAATAAGGATGTCAGAGTTGATGCATTTGTGTTGTGGTTTTGAAGAGTTCTTGAGTATCTGATGGACAGCCAAAAAGAACTGATAAGTTTGGGAAAGATTTGCACTAATTGCATGTGAAGCCAGAATGCTCCTTAGAGATAAGGATGGGGAAACTTCTCATAGAGGAAAACTCAATGCTTTGGATTGATAGGGTGACTACAGCAATGAGCTCAAAGTGTAACAGATGATTAGGATGGGACAGAATACAGATCTGTTCATAGAGCTGCTTGACTGCACGTGACAACAAAAGCAACCATTTACTTTTTAGTATCAAGATAATAGGCTTCTAGTACTGCTGGGTGTTTTGTTTTTTGTTTTTTTTTTTTTTTTAGCTTAAAAGCTTAAGTTCCCATAGTTGAAAACAAAGTCTAGTCTTTGCCACCCATACAGAGATCTGTCCTTTCCTAATCACAATAAAATTTTATGAGTTGAATGTTAAAATTATTTTTTAATTATTACTGTGTTTTGATAGTGTATCACAACCACTATTCCTGTACAGAGAGCAAAGGCAGCACGGGAAGACAAAGTAAAATATTACTATGAAACGTGCAAGGAGTTCAAGTGAGAAAATCAAAAGCGCCGAACTCGCTCAGCATTTCTTAAGCTCAAAGAACTAAAGAACAAATTAAAACCTTGAGTTGTTACGCTTAAGGATGCTTTAGGCAAAATATTAAATGATCCAGGAAGTATTAAAAGAAGATGGAAAGAGTTTCCAGAGTCACTGTACTGAAAGGAATTGGCAGAATTGAATGAAACAGTATATGAGCAAGAGCCTATGGTAATGAAAAGTTCAAGCTGCTTTGAAGGAATTGGCAAAAAATAAGGCTTTAGGAATTGATGGTATACCAATTTGATGTATTTCAACTAACAGAAGCTGCCCTACATGTATCGTGAAATCTGTAGGACAACCACTTCGCCAACTGACTGGAAGAGATCTGTATTTGTTCCCAAAGGTAACCCAACAAAGTGGAAATTATTGAACAATATCACATGCAAGCAAGATTCTGCTTAAGATTATCCAAAAAAGACTGGAACAGCACATCAACAAAGAGGACAGGCAGCTGGCCAACTGACTGGAAGAGATCGGTATTTGTTCTCATTCCAAAGAAAGGTGACCCAACAGAGTGTGGAAATTATCAAACAATATCATTGATATCACATGCAAGCAAGATTCTGCTGAAAATGATCCAAAAACGTTTGGAACAATATGTCAGCAGAGAACTGCCAGATGTGCAGGCTGGATTTAGAAGAGGTCATGGTACTAGGGATATTGTAGCTAATGTTAGATGGATCTTGGCTGAAAGCAAAGAGTACCAGAGGAATGTCTGTCTGTTTCATTGATTATGCAAAGGTGTTTGTGTGGATCACAACAAACTGGCTGAAGAATGGCAATCCCAGAACACTTGATTGTGCTAATACGAAACCTATGCTTGGACCAGGAGGCAGTCGTCAGAACAGAGCAAGGGAACACTGCATGGTTCAAAATTGGGAAGGGTGTACTCCAGGACTGTGTCCTACCCTCACATCTTTTCCACCTACATGCAGAACCTTATCTGGCAGGTTGGGCTGTATAAGGAGAAGTGTGGCATCAGGATTGGTGGACGATTCATCAATAATCTACGTCATGCAGATGCCACAACTCTGCTTGCTGAAACTGAGGAGGACCTGAAGCACTTGTTGCAGAAGGTCAAGGACTGCAGCCTTCAATATAGATTGAGGCTCAGTGTCAAGAAGACAAAGATTCTCACCAGTGGGCCAATTGGCAGCATCATGATTGATGATGAAGAGATTGAGATTGTTAACAGCTTTAGTTGGCTTGGCTCCACAATCAACACTCTTGGCACCAGCAGCTAGGAAGTTAAAAAATGTAGTGCAATGGGAAAGTCTGCTGTTAGGGACCTCTCCAAAGTACTGAAGAGCAATGGTGTCACTCTGGAGACTAAAGTGTGCCTGATAGAGGCCATGGTCTTTGCAGTCACTTGGTATGCATCAGAGAGCTGGACAATGACTAGGGAAGGTGGTAGGAGAATTGATGCCTTTGAGCTGTAGTGTTGGAAAAGAGTGTTGAATATACCATGGACTGCTAAGAAAATGAACGGGTTCATCCTGGAGAGGAGGGAGACAAGGAATCTGAGGCTTTGTCAGACATACTTTGGACATGTTGCAAGGAGAGACCAATTCTTGTAGAAGGATGTCATGCTTGGGAGGGTGGAGAGACAGTGCAGGAGAGGAAGACCCTCTATGAGGTGGATTGATTCAATGACTGGGGTAATAGGGGTAGGTGTG